ACGCCGCCAGCTGCTGCAGCCTCGTCGTGCGCAGAGTTCTTCGGGTCACTGACAGCGGGTGCAGCGGTGCGAAGCGGCACCTCCTCCGGTTCCGTCACGCTGGCCTCCTCCTTCCTCTCCAGCGCCGCAACCTCACTGGCGTTGAAGCAGCGGCTGTACAGAAATACGTTCGTCACCGTCACGTGGACCTCTGCGTTTACTTCGTCGTACCTGTATTCCCCAACGAAGATGTGCGAGACCCTCTCATGCTGAAATTGCTCATGAGGAGGCAGAGGCAGAGGCGGAGGCGGAGGAAACACGTCAGTAAATGGAGGTTTCTCCTCCAAACTCCCCACAAGCTGCCCGTCGACGTATGCCGAGCCCGTGCCGTTCCCCACCGTGAGCACCACTCGGTACGCCTTCCCCTCCTCCCACGCCAGTGTTTGTGCGTCCGCTCCTTCTCCTCCGAACTTCGTCCTCCAGCGCTTGTGCTCGTCGTACCACAGCCCCAGATACATTCCAGCCTCCGCTGTCCCCACGCCCAACACTGGGGTGACGCCCTGTGGCGCTTTGTTGATGGTCACCGTCGCCACAAGAGTCACCTCTTCGCCCACAGAACCGTGCCCGGGATTCCGCCGTTCTCTGCCCACCGGCCACACAATCGATGCACCACGCCCTGCCAGCACAAAGCCATTGGCAACCTTCGTTGCTCCAAACACCGTGGCGCCCACCCCAAGGTACTCGTCCTTCCAGTGGGTATTGTTGCCATTGTTCGACAAAAACCCAACCAGCCCGTCCGTTGGCATAGCACCGACGCAGGCAGCAGCGGGTTCTGCGGCGCCCTTCGCAGCAGCGGGGGTGGTGGCGGAGCTGCAAAGCTTTGCGACTCTGGCGTCCACGTCCTTCCAAGTTTGCAGCACGGACTTGATGCGCTGCAGTGGCTGCGGGAGACTCGCAAAGACAAGGCTGTCTGACCTTCCACTCTCACCCACCTTCGCGTAGAGGGCAAACAACTCATCTCTTGTGTACAGCAGCGAGCTGAAGGGGGCGTCGCCCGCATCATCCGCAGATATTGGCCCAACATCGTGGGTCCGAGCACCGTCGGAGAGCCACAGGTGGAGTACGTGGTGCCTTTGGCGCTCAACACTATGGACCGACATTACCGTGGTGTACAGCAGCACACTCCTGCCCGAAATCGTTGCAGTGGTGAGGGCTGAAGCAACGTAGGCCATAGTCAATGCGTATGCGTCGCCCAACAGGCGTGAGAAGGGCCCGGCAGCCTCGTTCCACGTCTTCCCCTTGTCGCCGGATTCGAAGATCCTGCGCCGCCACTGAGAAGATCCGGAGGTGGCCATGAAGAGTTTCCCCTCCCACTCGAGAAGCGTGGCAGCGTCACAGTCCTGAGCAACCACAGGCGCCGCAGGAATCCCCCAGTTATCCCCATTGTCGCTCGAGTACATGACGGTGCAGGCACGCCCGCCTGTTTCGTCGTTGGTGGTCCCCATAAGAGGGAAAAGAACCGTTGCGTCCCCAACCGCGACGCCTCTGGACATACTCGCGGGCTGCAGCACCTTCCACGACCGCTGCTGCATCTGTCTGGCAAGCATGGAGTCCAACGGCCGGGGACCTTCCCACGAGACTCGTCGCTCTCCCCGCTCGCCCCCGGACTCCCGAACTTCACCAACAATCAACGCAAGGCCCCACCCAGGATCGCTCTGCAAAGAAGGCTCTTTGGCCACTCTTCTTTTTTGCAGAAGCAAATGTATTTTATTGCCCTTCCCCAGAGCCTGGGGGCCAAACGGTGATACAAGGTAGCCCTCTGCCTCCGGTCGCTTCGTCACAAGCTGCGTCTTCCACGCTTTTCCTTCCAATGCAGCGTCTTCATTCAACTTTTCATTTGCCCCGTACGCACTGTACTTTGCCCAAATCTCAGGGCGCGTGTTGCTGTGTGCGCCGACGGCAAGAGCAACCAGCACACCATTCACGTCAAGAAGGGAGTGGCTGTAGAAAGAGGAGACACTTTTATAGCGAGTGCTACTGCCGCTCTCTTCTCCCTCCGCAAGCACTGGAGCTTCCCCTGGTTTGAAGAGCTCCACCTCCTTCGACGCCTCCTGCGTCTCTGCAGCGTTGGCCCCGGCCCCACTGCCGCCGCAGCACACCAACAAAAAGAGCAGCAGCACCGCTGAGGAAAGCCAGTGCAGGGACATGTCGTGCCGCTGCTCACTCTCTTCTTTCCCTCCTTGCGGTGGGTCCGCGCAGGCCGTGACGGTTGTGTGTGTGTGTGTGTGTGTGTGTGTGTGCTGTGTACTTT